TTAATTACCTGGTGGGTATCTTTCAGCTGAATACGCACAGCGGATACATTTCTTAATGAATGCTTCTGTATTTTACGAGTTTGGAGCCGATATACCAAGTTGATTTACCATTTATAAGTAATGCAGTAGGGAGATTCCTTGCAAATAAAGTGGAAAGGCGGGATTTAATGTTCTCTGAAAAGTTTCAACCAGCCATAGTCATCATAATCGTCCGATGAGGCGGCTTTCAAAGTAACAATATGGTCTGTATTTCTGGGTAGATGAGTTGAGGACGGCATTGATGGTTGGTACGAAATACGCGAATGGATAGATGAAGGGGTTGGTGTTAACAGATGAAGTTTAACAGGGAAACGCGGCTACGATAATGCAACCATAGATTCAGAGAAAATACGACCTTCAAACCGGCTCAGGTATGCCAAGGTCGGTATCATTGGTTGATCACTTGCTGAGGCCTTTCTGGCCCTTTCTGGGGTTACTTTCGAGGCATCTAACATTGAATGAACGTCAGTATGGAGGGACTGATTAGATCAGTATGTCGCCATCAATGTAACTGCCTCTTAACCTGAAATTGCTTCGAATGTTCTAAGAAACCTCCACGTTTACTCATCATGATACCATCAATTCCAGATTATGCAAAGATCGACAGAACTGTAACTTTATCAAACAAGTTCAGCCGGTCATGTCATGCGGCTCTCTACATATTGCATATGTCGCTTGTTGGATTCCATCCATGTGTCATGTACAAAACGGACCATTGAACTGGTGGGCACGGTGGCATCGGACCGTCATCGGCTGAAGAGACATGCAATCTCGGAGAATCTATCAACTGATTCATACACATCGTCTTCGTACATCATACACGTACGTATTTCGTACTACCAGATTCCTTAGAGGGGCATTATAAGCATTGGGATACGATGCTCACGATCTCGGAGAACGTGAATTCGCCATCAATCTCATCGTAATTTGCCCCTCAGCGATTCATCCCGCGAAATAATTCCTTTTTCGGAATTCGGAAGGAATTCGGTCACGTGATTACATCCCTTGAACAATAATCCTTTGACTTGTCTCGCTGATTACCGAATCTTATGGGAGCCGCTACTACTATCTATCATATAGATAATAGGTAGCGATCGAGAAGGATCAGTATACTCATAATCCTCTATCGTTATGCCCCGGGAGTCCCGTTCACAGCTTACCGTCAGAAACCCACCTGTTATCTTGTTGTGAATTTCAACTACACCCAGCGGGAATGTGTTGCAATATTTCTTTGCGAAAGCGGGCAATCAATATTTACCCTTGGGATGGTAAGGCAACCCTTGGGATGGTAAGGCATTGATCTGTCTCGTACGGGCTACCTATCGCACATATCTCCATTCATGGGTAGTCCATGAAGCATGATGTTTGACAAACTGCTACTCGAGGCGGAGATGTGACTGCCTTTTAAAAATGAAATGACGGCAATTGGGAAAGATTCTGGGCTTCCGATGATATTGGATTGTGGCCATTTGAACAGCACAATTGGTGGCTGTTTGTGTGAGAAGAGTATAGGTGACTTAGTACTTACGACATAGTCCTAAATATCAATATTGAATTCGGTCTAAGGATCCAATTATTCGAAGGAAAAAGTAATTCCTACATAAGGATCGCTATAAGGCTAGCTCTCTCGCTAGGTATACTATAATGCATAAATAAAGGACAGAATAAAGGTCTTCATTCCGCCTGATATAGTTGTCGGGGGCCTGGATAAACTAAAATTTGTTTAGACAGGACTTTTGTCTTGAGATGAAGGGTGGCGAGAAGGGGTGGGAGTGGATAATACAGGTGTGATGATAGGAAGTAGTTGATCGATAGAGATATACTGCTAGTAATTGCGCTATTATATCATCTTTTGCTCAATTTTGGTAACTATGTCATGTAAAAAGAGACATTTCTATTTTCCGAGTTCCTAATATTCTTAAAGATGAGGGGCTAATATACTGAATTCATGCTTTGAAAGTAGTTTACAGAGAGAGCAATGAATGATCAAGATATAAACTATCTTTCTATCTTCCTATCACCTCCAGCAATCTATCTTTCACTTGACTCTCAAGCTTCCCTTCGTCGGATCCCAGACATACATCTACGTGTTCGTCACAGAAATTGAAGTAGTGATTTTAGACAGTAGTAACTAAGTGATAGAATTGCTATTTGAGTTGAGCACAAAGCTCCATATACTAAGGGAATAAATACATTCTGCTTTTACAGACCTTCGTTCCTTGTTGTTTCATCGTTCCCATCATGTCCCACTGCCATATTCCAAATGAGACCGGTAGGATTCAAAACATATGGCATCATGGGTTCCTGCAATGATTAGCTAATCACTGAACTTCAGGTCCCCATAGTCATATGTTTTGCTCTGGTCGTAACACAGAAATAGTAAAATCAATAACAGAAACAGTGAGATTTGCCAGGAGTGGCTAAGTGTTGTATCATGAAGATAGAAGCAAGAACAGAGACAGAAAGATTTGCAAGGAGTGGCTAAGTGTTGTATCATGAAGATAGAACCAAGAATAGAGACAGAAAGATTTGCAAGGAGTGGCTAAGTGTTATATCCTGACAGTTAAACTCGCTCTCGTTGAATCCTTCTTGGTAGCCAGCCTGCTTTGCTGCACTGATCACGAAGGGGGACGACACCCAAAACCACAGGTTCCTTGTTGACAAAATATTATTTCTGCTCCGAATTGGCATGGGTCGGGACACTTCAAAAACGTTAGCAAGATCCGAAGAGCATTTGAGTACACAAAAGCAAGGCAACACATACCACAAAGCCACAGCTTCCACAGTTATTTTCGTCATTCCGAGTGTCGATGCAAACACCACTACAGAGTGTTTGTCCAGAAGGGCAGGCTGGGGCGCAGACACCGCCTACACATGCTGAACTCCCACACTTTAAGCACCACAGTATTAGTGAGGTTAGAGAGCACTGGGAAGACTCAAGGCCAAAACGACACGTACCGAATTGCCATATGATCCACAGTTGGCACTGCTGGTACTGGTGTCAACGCAGGTGCCACTGCACAATGCTTGCGCAGGATTGGCCGCAAGGGGACCACAGGTATAGCAAGGCCCTGTTCCTTGAGCGGCTTGCGATGTACAAGATCCGGGACTTGCGGAATTAGCTGCACACCAGGTCGCGCAGACGTTATTTTGGCGGGTTGGAAGATGCGTTGCGAATGCGGTGATGCCTATGTCAAAAACTCATCAGAGATTTTGAACTTCTTGGTCATAACCAGAGAACTCACCGAACGCAAGTAAAGTGAATAGAAAAAGTCTAGTTATTTCGAGTTGTTATCGAGTGTAGAGCCAGGTAGTAGTATAGAATAGAGAAATGTGTTGTGAAGAGCCAGGTGGTAGTATAAAATGGAGGAAGATGTTGTGCAGAATCAACTGTTTGTCTTCAGGAAAACCGACCTTTATTCGTATATTCGAGTTAGTCCTCTACATACATCAATTACCCTAATACAGATTTAGCAAACAATTTATAAGAGATATCATTTTCTATCCAATCCCTTGCCCATGTGTTCAGCTGTCAGTGCAACTTCGACACATATTCTTTTTGATGGACTGTGGAGTAATTTCGATGCACCTCGACTCAAGCCTTTACAACATCTAGAGTGATGCGTAACAATACTTCAGCGGGATTCAGACGGGATTTCCTGCTCACAGAGATCTGGATTTTGTAAGTGCGGGGTCGTGAGACAGATCCGAGAGATGGATGTTAGAACCTAGCCTTTCAGATCTTGAGAAGTTACTGAGAAACCACCTATTAACCCGGCTTGTAGAAGCCACTGCTTCTGTTTGACAACAGCTAGCCCTATCATATTCACCGATCTAGCAGCTTATAGGTGACCTTACATATCTAGTAAGTATTCTACACATTATGCATATTTGAGGTTTCCTGTGCCGCTATCTCAGCTTTCTCCTGGATTTAATCTTCAGAGAACACAACTTAGCATCTTAGTGCACAACAGAATACCACCCAATACGTCAGTGGATAGATGTGTAAACAATTTGTGAAGTATACAAGTATGCACCACGATATATATCATTTCTTAGGTAACCTGTGATACCATCTCAGCTTTGCACCTGTTCATTCCCCGAAGAACATAACGTAATGTTTTAGAAAGAAAATAATATGAAAGCATACAAAAGTATCAAAATTCATGTCTTGTCTTAGGTTACCTAGATCCCACCCTTTTCTTCAATCTCTGGAAAATGCAATCGGGAATATTAACCGGAAAGATCTCTCGACCATCAGTCTTGCAGGCATATAACCCATAAGATATGTACGGTATTTCAGATCGTGTAACCGATGGCTTAATGTCCAGGAAATGCAACGAAGTAAAGAATACAGTTGGCAGCCAGCTAAACGAGAGGCTTCCCTGCCCAGCTGAATTTCGCGAATATTAATGTGCTTATGACCCAAAGAACTTGAAATTTCCCCTCTGGGAGACCACCACTTTACGCCAGTCTTTGGCCCCCGCTTTGAGGTGCACCACCCCGCTTCTTGTAGTTCTCCATCAATGATTGCCACGTAAAGCATGGCAAATACCGCCTGATCTCCTCCCAAGATTCTTTTTTTGACGAGCAACGAGCTTGACTAATAGGTCTTGTTGCATCTGTGAAGTCTCCTGGTGCATCCGCGCTTGTTTCAACTTCGTTGTGTGCAGGTATATCCTCGAAAATCTTCCACTTCGCTTCTACCGTTTCCTCTTCCTGACATCTCTCCTCCGCCTCACCATCCTCATTAAATGTTCCAATCGAAGAATGCAAACCTGAATCCTTGTTAGGTAGATTTACCTGATTCAATGATGTTCCAGAGTGCTGAAAAGAGTGTCAGGCTGGTCTTGGGTAGGCACAGAGGCTGAGGCATTCTGCCTGTGCAAAGGAATTGGACCTGGAAGTGGATAAGGAAGTGGAAATGTATCAACGAAAAAGCTGACTTTGATATCCCTCCATCATTCGTACTCAGGAAGATAGTCTGACTGGCTTAGGTCGAAGTCGGAAGTGGTAGTATCGACAGAGACATCGTTAACAAAAGTAGTTTGGAAAGAAGAAACATATGGCTTATCTTCCTCGGGAATGAGCGGCCTATTGTATACTTGATCAGAACCGCTTGTTCTATTTCTAGAGAATCTACACAAATACCCTTGGGCACCCCATTCATTTTGAACATTGTGGTTTAGATTCGAAGACCCCAGCACAATGTCCTTACTTTGTAATGCGATGCACTGTAGATTCTCGATTATAGGGATTCCGAGGTCGTTTCTGTTTTCGTTCGCTTTTTCTTTCTTGTTGCTATCGCAGACAGACTCGGTCTCTGTTGAAAGTCTAACAGTTTACTTGCGATGTTTGAAAGTCAAGTATCTAAAAAATGAAACATACCTCGAACTCCGTGGCCTTGTTGTGTGCTATCGACTGCTTCGTCTAGAGTCTCTTGATACACGGAACGGTAAGCACACAAGTAATTGGAATTATGGTGAACTCGAACACTTTTAACTTTTATTATGTATTCCTATTCACTCTTTATATCTACTCAAATTGAAGACAGGATCTAAAACGCTGTAGTTGCATTTCAATCAAAGGAACTTAAATCGATTAGAAAAAACATAAAGCACTGGTACTATAGTGGGCTAAACGCTTATGGTCATTCACCTACATTTGCACATTGATGAAGACATCCTCTTGAGGGAGTAATATCTTATTAATCATCGATAATCTCTTCAAGGCAGATACGAGTTGCTTCGCAAACGCACTCTTTCGGGATAATTATCAAGCCTCTCGACGTGAATGGGTAAGTTTGGTGCTTGCTCCAAGAATCTTGACGTGGCCGATATACCTACGTACGTACGTAAGATACAAAAGGATATCGTGATTGCTGCCGTATGCGGGCATGCAACGTGGAAGGCGAAATTCTATATCGAGGGAAGCTTCGAAGAGGTCCCGCATGAATGCCGATTCATACAAAGAAAGTTCGTGTGAAAATTATTGCCAAAGACAAGCCATTTCCAAATGCCAGTGGGATTTGGTTCTGTCATTGAAGACGAATGAAAAAAATTGAAATTGTGTGGAAAACATGGGCAAATCAAGAAAGAATACTTTGAAGATTATGAATCTCGTTATATTGTAGCAAACGCTTGCTTTTTATTGCGCTCTTTATGAAGTGTAATCGATGGTGTGAAGTGCCGGTAGGTAGGTAATGTCATGTCATAGCGAATAATTACGAGTCACGTGCTGAGCTAATGTTACCACAGACTCCAGCTCCGTCCCAATTTCCTTTTCAGGTTTCGTAGAGGCTGGAACTTCGAAATGAAACACCACACTGCCAGAGAAACACGGTATGACAATGTCTTTGTAACTCAGCAATATTTCATTGTTTACATTGTTTGCATTGTTTACAGTCAATGCCATCGAAAATGATTTACATCATCACATCGGCCGGAATCAAATAACCCAGAACGAATTCTTGAGTTGTTTGGTGAAGCATGAACGGAGATGTTTAAAGTCGTCTGAGGCGTAGTAGTCATTGAAACTGAACAGATGGAACTTGGGACGAGGAAGTCCTCTGTGCCATGTACAAAACGTCATTTCGTACATAGGTGCTGGCGACTACATTGACGATATCGTCACAGAATTATTGTTCGTGTAAGAAGCTGCAATGGTGAAGTAGCTGAGGTTCAAACTATTGTGGCTGATTCCAACTTTGCTACAGAGGAGTGTTTCCAAAACGTTGGGTTTTGTCGCCAACAATTCCAGTCAAGGCTAGGCCTGTGAACGGGTTTCCCCACTATAATTGTTCCCTGTGAAGAAACACACGGTCATTGGAGATTCACAATTTTAAAGGTGCATGTTCCCAGACAACCGCACGGCCTCCAGGAGATTTTGAGCATCTGCGGCAGCTAAGACCTTTGAGGCTATTGCTGCGATTTAGAGGCTGGTTTTGATTCTCGGTGTTTATGGAAGCTGGACATTGTTCATATCCCAGAAGCTGATTGTGATGTCGAAACAAGCTTAACTTCTATGACCATGCCCACTCGAAACAGGTAAGAAGCCAATAGCAACTTCCGAATCCCGATACTAGTCGTCTAGTTCTAGGAAAGAGCAAAGTCCAAACACTCAAAGCATCAGCCTTAGGGTTGGAGAAGCAAAGATGAAAGATCCGAGAGGCTCATCTCCATGAGATTCGAGATCATCCCCAGGTAATCTCACACCCCAGCATTGCATGATCGACCAAGAAACATCGTGTTTTGTCATTGGTTATTCTTGAAAATGTTAGGTTTCTTGAAAAAAAGTTCCGTCCTTAGTCTGAATTGTTCTGTGTGGAAAAATTGCAGATCGAAGCTCAAAGAATACAGGTCCTTACCAAGTCATGACCGCAATAGCGAATCGTGGTCAGATCTTGGACGTCTCGGACTAGTATCACCAAACCTCTTGGTTAGACGTATGTTTTTGAAACGTTTATGGAGAGAATATGGCCAAGCACACCAATGCAGTTCCTTGCTCGGCATCCGGTCTTTTCATTCAACCAAGCTTTTTGACTTCTGGCAGTAGTGGAATTTTGTATAAAGAACGTCCATTCTCCCAGTGGAATATCTTTTTTTCATCATCAGCATCTTCAGCATCTTTTCTTCACTTCACTTTATCTTACAATCTTTCCATCTTGCGCCGGTCGCTTTAAATTTAATTACACAAACTATCCTTTAATAATTTCCAAGTTCTTCAACTTTATAACCAACCAACCAACTACCTTCAAAATGCAATATACTTCATCAATCCTTCTTTTGGCCTTCGCTGCCACCAATGTCCTCGCCCACGGTGTCGTCACTGAAGTTCAGGGTGCCAACGGTGTTAACATGCCAGCTCTCTCTGGTAAGTTTTTCTCATCTCTTGCTCATAGCTTCTTCTTTCTCAGCTTCATCCTATTAACACATTTATCTAGTCGCCGATGGAACTCCTCGTGATTGCCCATCTCCAGGTTGCGGTGCTGAGGCTGATACTTCCATAATCAGAGCTAATGAGATGGGTACTTCCAAGGCTTCTGCTCTTGGTCGCACTGCCACTGGTCCAGTCAGCGCTGCCAAGATGATCTCCATGTTCATGGGAGGCAATGCAAACAGCACCGCCGCTGTTGCAGCTCGTGAAATTCACGCTGCCAGCATGCTCAGACGCTCCCTCGTTGTCCGCGCCGCTGATGGTGGTGCCAAGACTCCATCCGGCACTTCAGAGACCGGTGTCAAGGCCGCTATGGGTGCCGGTGCCACATCTGGCATGCCAACCTGTGCTGATGATGGAACTGTCAAGATGACCTTCCACCAAGTTAACCAAGATGGTGCCGGACCATTGACTGCAATGGTCGACCCCACTTCCGGTGGAACTGACCCAGCTGCTTTCAAGAAGGCTGCAGTTACCCAGAACGTTCCAGGTATCGGTATCGGTGGTCTTTCCGCCGCTCAAACCACCGATTTCCAAATGGCTGTTCAGATGCCAGCTGGTATGACTTGCTCCGGCTCTGTCGGTGGCGCCTCCAACGTCTGTGTTGCCAAGGTCCAGAACAGCGCTCTCGCTGGTCCTTTCGGTGGATCCGTTGCTTTCACCCAATCCGCTGGTGCCAAGAAGCGTGCGATCGAGTACAACCTCAGCAAGCGCCGCTTTGCCCGTGCTCTTGCTACCGAGTCCGAATAAGCATCTTCAGTATGCCAGCGATGGTCGATAGTGGGTAATGCACCCGAAGTGGTATGGAAATTGAACAAGATATAAGATTAATGGTTATTATTGGTTGATGAATGGCTCGGAATTCCCTTTGTGTTAGAAATTTCTTTTGTATTGTGGTGGACTCTTGCTAGCGATGGGAAATGAGATCTGCGATTTCTTCTCCAGAGCTAGAAGAGGGGGTGGTCCTATAGATATTGTGATGATGAATTGACTTATACTTTCCTTATACACATAAAGTCCTTTCATAGATGCTGAGCACGCTCATTATTTAAATCCTAATTATGCTGATCAAAAAAAACGTTCTCTTTTCTTGCTTCTTATTGTGATCGTGATTTGATTAAACTTATAAGCGACACAGCTCTTCTTTGCTTATGTTCGCAGTATTTTGGAGTTTCTACACGACTCTCAAGAAGATTCAGATCATTTACATATGCATGAAGATTTCTAATGTCTCGCTTCTCAATACTCAGGACACAAATCTCCAATCATCAAAGTAATACCCAAATGATTATTCCACAGAGCCTAGATACGGAATCAATAGCATGCCAAGGAATCCATCCCACGGTTATAGGACTCAATACTAAAAGAGCATCTGGGCTACTAAAACCGTAGACCTGTGTACATCATTTGATCTGAAACTTCCTTTATACATCCCTCAACATAAAATACATCCCACAAAATTACCTCCCAAAGCAGCAATAGTATAAAGGAGCTTGTCCCTTACCTTCACATATATACTAAAAACATCCCAACCCCTTCATCAAAAATCTCATAGCAAGCTTCAGTGCAGTTGGTAGGCTCGCTTGGATCTTTTCATGTCTTGGAAGGGCGATATTGAAGGGAATATATGATGTTATGAATACTTAAATAGGTAGGTATCGTTATCTCTGATTATCGGACAAACTTTTGGAAATGAGCCATCAGAGGGGAACTTGCAGTATTGCAGTGTGTCTCTTTTGGAACCGACGTACGCTGATTACCGTAAATTTGATTTTCATAGGTATGCATCCATATTCTACGAAGACAAAAGAGGAAACTCGGGTCTCATCCGATCGGCGTCACTTTTTCATTTTCAAATTAAGGTGTAGAAAGGAAAGTGTTCCGAATCAGATGCGTGCCTCTGACATACTCGTCCCACCGGCCCTGCAAGTTACCGATATCTTACACATGGATTCTTCGGCAGTATTCCGGGTTAGATGATGGACAGCTTGAGCTCAACATATCAGATTGATCTTTCCAGAAGTTGTGGTATGTCAATCACGGTAGCATGCAGAAGTGTTATCTATACATGTAAATTGATCGATACACAACATCAGACTAACCGTGAGGCTTGGATGCATTGAAACGGCCCGCGAAAGAATGTTGCCACAACCCCTCGATTCCAGCACGTGAACCTCGTGCCAAATTTAGAATCTTGGCATGTTTTTGTCTCACAACTTTGCAACTTTCTTCACAGTCAATTGCAATAACTTCACCTCGGATTAGATGTTATGTCGAGCACAGCATCATTATCATCTTGATTCATTTGTGACACGAAGTTTGAAATGATGCTATCCTGTTACTTGCCTAGCGATGATCCGTTCCACTTCCCCTTTTATTTCATACCCCCAAAATTCACTTCTTTTGCTCAAGATTTCGTGTGGCTCCATGTGGCTCGCCTACAACTACAATACGAAGGTATCACGGACAATACTAAGAACACCCGCCACAAACATCATGTACTCATATTTCTGAATTGCGTTGAAGTTTTGATGCTTTTGAATCTTATTTCCATTTCCTAATTGATCTTAAACAAGTAGTCTAGGTCAAAGTTGACTATGAACAACTTATCCTTGATTCATCTTATCATTTGGTGCTTCAAATTTCGTGCTAGTGTGGTCTATTTCGGTAAAATAGAACAATACTAAGGAGAGTCTCCATTGTTCTCAACTGTGATATCGACTGTGATGTTATCGAGACCTTGATCCTCGTCAGATTTATTTTATATCCACAATACTATAGCAAAGTAATGCAGTTGCTATTATTTAGAGACAGTGTCGTTACGAGCACGACTTGTCATCTTTTAAGTAGTTCAAGAATTTCTAGAGGCATTTTGGATATAAACTTCCCTCCCCTCCTATAATCAGTGTGTCATCTCGAACCTTCAGCATCTCCGAACGTTCCACACAACAGTTCTATCATAGCTATCTTTGCTAGGCAAAAAAATTGCTTTCTACTTTACTCCTTCAACACACCTGCTACTTTGATACCTTATCATACCGACGATTCACCACGCCCTGGAAAAGTCTAAAGTAAGGATGGCTTCCAACAGTTCGAACTTCGATCCATTCACCCAGAGTATTACCATTCTCATGGCCGATGGCGTTACGACTGTGTCTATCACCCCAGTCGACATCGACTTTTTCTACTACTACAACGTGGCTAGTTGTATCAATTATGGTGCTCAAGCTGGAGCTTGTTTATTGATGTTCTTCGTCGTTGTCGTCCTCACCAAGGCTGCCAAACGCAAATCACTCCTCTTTGTCCTCAATACCCTCTCACTCATTTTCGGGTTCCTTCGCGCCATGCTCTATGCCATCTATTTTCTTCAAGGCTTCAATGACTTCTACGCCGCTTTCACGTTCGATTTCAGCAGAGTGCCACGATCGTCGTATGCTTCTAGTGTCGCTGGCAGTGTCATTCCTCTCTGCATGACGATCACAGTCAACATGTCTTTATATCTTCAAGCTCACACTGTTTGTAAGAACTTGGGTAATTTACATCGAATTATCCTCACCACACTCTCTGCTATCATTGCCCTATTAGCAATTGGCTTTAGGTTCGCCGCAACGGTCGTCAATTCAGTGGCAATCTTGGCAACATCTGCTTCGTCCGTGCCAATGCAATGGCTAGCCAAAGGAACCCTTGTAACGGAGACAATCTCGATATGGTTCTTCTCTCTCATATTCACTGGAAAATTAGTATGGACTCTCTACAATCGCCGAAGAAACGGATGGAGACAATGGAGCGCCGTGCGAATTCTTGCTGCTATGGGTGGTTGCACCATGGTTATACCTTGTAAGGATTCAATGATATTATTCGATCGAAATATAAGCTAATACTAGACAGCTATCTTTGCCATCCTTGAATATGTGACACCAGTTTCATTTCCAGAAGCAGGCACTATTGCCCTTACATCAGTTGCACTTTTACTTCCCATTTCTTCACTTTGGGCCGGTATGGCGACAGACGAGGAAACATCTACTATCGACGTGTCCAACCTCACTGGTTCACGCACAATGCAAGGTTCACAGAGCGGAAACTTCTCACGAAAGACATATGCCAGCGACACCACCGCACAATCCTCTCGACTTGATTTTACATCCAGAAAAGGAAGCAATGCTACCATGATGAGAAAAGGTAGCAATGCCATGGACCAAGTCACCACAATTGACTGTATTGTCGAGGATAACATGGCAAATCATGCTCCAAGAGATAGCACGGAAATGGACCTTGAAGCCATGGGTGTACGCATTAATAAATCGTATGGAGTTCAGAAGGCATGAGTGGGTTCAAGTACAGTTACGTATGATATATACCCCTAATTTGATGAGGAAAATTGATTGGACAATTTCATGGAGGTGACGTCTGGAAATACGGTGGTAATGAGCATTAATTGAGAGGATTTGCACAGGTGCGAAGCTAATCAGACATAATTTTCTAATTTCCTCGAATGTATTTACGCAAATGAATATATTGTATTAACTAATAGGCCTCTTGAGAATTTTATCATTATCACACGTTAAGGTTTCCTTTGAGATGATGTCGCACTTTTCACCTTGTTAGTTTTGGCAAGTGCCAACCGCGATTGTAGTCTATAGTGACTTTATATCAGAGATGGAAGGAGCATTTCTCATCACCACATGGTATTGCCTCTTGAATCAGACACACAAGATAATATTGCAACTTTATATCGTCATTCGTTCAGCTGCCTTCTCGTACAACATACCTATTTTACTGCTTTACGCCAGTGATCATATCATACATAGTATTCCTTGCTATTTGATTTTGACTTCAAGTATTTACTCGGTCAGTGGATGTGGCAAATATGGCTTACCATGGATCATGGGGACGTGGTCGTAGCATTTATGGCCATAATAGTGTTCGTTCGAATGCTAAGATATCTACCATCGGGAGATCAAGATCCAAAGCTTCTTCTCTAGACGGCCAAATGACTCCTGATCGTGGGCGGAGTAGTAGGGATAACAAACCAATTTATCGGTAAGGCCTCTTCGACACGCTGATTTAATAAGTCAACGGGTCTATGATCTTTTATACACAAAAAGTACTAACGACATAAACTTATCAGCTCAAAACCTGTCGTCACATCAGCTCTTCGATGTCTAGTCGGCAAATTCGAAGCTATGGACGCTTTAAGTCTTCCCATCCAAGACTTCACACTCCAACCCGCACCATTGCACTCAGCACGAAACTCTCCTCGAAAAAGAAGCAGGACACGAGATTCTTCACAGAAAAGATTATCCACCATTTTAAGTCCGAATAGAAGGGATTTGTCTAGAGATGGCGATGTTTTCATTGAGGAATATATGAGGAATAATACATGGGGAGGTACGCCTAGTAGTACTAAATCAACACTTCTCCGATCTCAGAAAAGGCAATTCCAATCGAGACAACTGAGAACTCCACAGCAGCCGGGAAAAACTGTAAAGACACCGTCGAAGAGTGAAAATAGGATGGTTTCCTCAAGATCTACCCCAAAGAACATGAGTGGTAAAAAAAACGAAACTCCAGCCTATACACTCCCGAAAAAGTCTCCAAATAAGAAAATCGGAAACATGATTAAAGACCGAATACGCTTCTTTGACGGAAGTCCAGACGAGAAACTTCCCTCGAGCCCCGCAAAATCAAGTCCTTCAAAAAACGTTCCATCTTTATTTGCTCCAGCTCATCGTGTCAATCGTAATAATGGATCTCCCTCAACTTCCTACACCACCGCTATTGAAACACCAACCGTTAAATCAGCAATGAGAGGCTCGACAAACTTCTCTAGAACATCTGAAGTGGCCAAAGAGAAAAGTACTACGATCTCTTCAGCTCAAAAAGCGCAATATACGCCAGTATCTCATAGAAAACAACGCAATGTTTTCGGAGAGGCAGTTCAGAATCCTTTCTTGGCTTCTCAGGGGAGTTCGGAAAAGACAAGATCTTCAAATACGGTCTCGCCTCATACCTCTCCGACGAGACCACAGGGATTCAAGAGACTGAAGTCAGAAACTAAAGGTAGGTTGATTGATTTAAATGGATTTCTCGAGATATGTATCCAGGATCCTTGTGGTTCCTAACTGACTTCTATTGCCAGTAGAGATTAATTCACGCGGAAGTTCCCTAGCCCGCTACGAAACCAACGCCACTCCAACCCGCGGCCCCTCCCTTCCCAAAATCACCCGCCCAAGAGGACGAACGATCCCCGGCCGCAAAGATCCCAAAACAGGTATACAAAAAGATTTTGATACGCGACGAAGCCAAATTAGCGAGAAAATCGAAGCCATCTATCAAGCCAAAAACGAAGCCCGGAAAACCGAAGGTAAGGACACTAAATCTGTTCTCCAGGAAAACCATGCAGTGTCTTCCATGCCGAAACATGTCGAGAAAGATGATGTGAGACAACCCCAACGGATAAAAGATACGTCATCTTTTCGATCGAAATCAAAAGTCGCGGATATGAGAATGAGGTTTGATGGCGGTGCATCGTTTGCCGGAACTGTGTTACCCGGTTCTGCATCAAGAGATGCGGGACCAAGAATTGTGTCTCCAGTCAAAGAAGGAGAGAATCCTGCAATTATCCCTGTTCCTCCGCCGGCACCACCACCTCCTGTTTTTTCATCACCTATTCTCAGGAAAAGTATCCCCAATCCTGATACTCCTCAAGATCCTGCCCCTCTCCCCACCCAAAGACAAAATCAAATAAGTCCCAAATCTTCTGAGCTTACTTCCTCGCCGAGGAAAAATGTGCTTTCAGAAACGATCAAGCAGAGAGTATCCGTTTTACCCTTGGAATCTACTGAGAAGATAGCAATACAGAGACGTCAGCAGACACCGGCGCCTATGAATGAATCACCTGTAGTTCTAGAACCTGAGAAGAATGCGCTTCAGACTTGGCCGCGCTCTGGTATTAAAAAGCCGAAACAAGTAAGAAATGGATTGATAGCGGAGAAAATGAGGTTGTTTGAGGATATTTCGAGGACGGGGAACAATGATGAGAGTATCGCTCTTAGTCCTGGGAAGGAACAAGAGGATGGGGAGAGTGAGAAACAGAGACTTGCGATTGATAGTGGTAAAATGAGAATGAGAACAAAAACGTTGATTGAGGGGAGGAAAGAGAAATTCGAGATTAGTCCACGGAGAGATGGAGATGAAGATGGGGAAGTGAGGAAGGGGAGAATCAATCCGGTTTTTCCAATGGCTATTGTGGCGAATGATGAATGGAAGGGAAAGGGGAAGGACAAGGGAAAAGAAAAGGAGGAGCCAGTAAAAGATAAACATGAGGATGTTGGCATCCAAATTGTTGAAGTATCTTCATCACCTCCACCAACAAAGTCAAGAGAGAGGTTGGGGAGCAGAGGACCAAGAATAGGAAGTAGAGGCCGTGTGGTTGGTCAATGGAACGATTTTTTCCCGGCGGGTGGTAGGGATAGGGATGGAGATGCATTAGCGCATTTACCTCTCAAAAGAGGATTGAGAGATGCGAGAATGCATATGGGTAGAGATGGGAGTCGTAGTATTGATTGGGATGAGGTGGAACGAGAACTTGGGGAGAAGGGAGGATGGAGAGATGAGGATCTGGATAGGTTGGTGGGATGGGGGGAAAAGGAGAAAAGAATTGATGGTTTGAGAGGGGGAAAGGGGATTAGTGTTAGTGTTAGGGTGAGGGGAAGGGAAGCTGGTGAGAAGATGGGAAGAGGGGGAGAAGGAAGAGATGAGAGTGAGAAAAGAGATATAATGGTGGTTAAAGAAGCGGAATGTGGATTATCGGAACCGAAACCGTTGAGGGCGGTGGAAATGAAGAGAATGGTGGAGATTTGTAGGGATAGGGAGAGAGTTGGAGAAAGGGAGAGGAGTAGAGGGAGGAAGTTGGAGAGGAGGAAATGACTAGGAAAGGAGAACAGATTGAGAGAATACTATTAGGTGTTTGTGAATGGATGGAGAAAGAATCAAATTGTATAAATGCTTTGAGGCATTTTAGTTCGGGGGAAATGGTGGCTCGAATGGATGATGAGGGTGAGGGTGCGGGGGGTGGTATAGGATATCCTTCCACTGTTCTGGTTAAGTAGGAATGGAAAGTAGAGATAGAAGGAGAGTATAGATGACGACGAGTTAAAATCCATAGAAATTAGAATTAGAAGAAATAAAAACCAGGGTTACTATTCGGAAAATCTACGATGAGTATAGAGTGCAGTCGTATCCACTTGAATGATTCCGATCTGACATTGTCCGATGAGATATGGGGTGAATCAAAATGGGACGTTGGATGATAGTTAGTTAGCTGTGCTCCTGTTGGTATGGAAGAACTAGGTACCTAGGTATACATACAGCAAAGTCTCTGCTTTTACTGCCTTTTGAAAGGGAAAGGCATCAAAGGACTCCATTTCAGATGTGCAAAATATCTTTCGGTCGTACTGATTTTGTATGGAAGAGTTGGATATACAACAATACCACTCACTCACTTTGCTTACTGCCATATGAGACAAAAGGCAATAAGGGATTGGAATCAGACATGCAACAAAACTTTTGGATTGCACAATTTGACCAATAGGAGCAGAGTAGACCGCAATATCAAGAACCAGTATTTCAAGGAAACATTTCAGAGAAACATTTCAGAATTGGGTATAGAAACGATAACGACAAGCTTTCAAACAGCAAAGATTGCAAAAGAACTCCCCCATGTATCAACCGCCCCGCTAAGATAATCCCCAAGAATATACCGACCAAACTCCATGGCCACTCACTTGACCCATGCGTGCCAATCACTCTCGTTGTTATTCGACATCATCTGCCACCTAGGTTGGCTTCTCGCTGATTGCTTCCTTGCTCCGCACACTACCACCGTCCTCACTCATTCCTTCCAGCTTCAGACTCGTTCCTCTACTACTTCTAGCCCCAATGCTTACTCCGGTACCTTTTCTCTCGCTCAATGCTTTGGACCACCTCTTCTGGTTCTTTCCGCCCTCGACCATTTCATCGAACCCAAGGACTTCTCTGATCTCTGGAATTTCCGCATGATCTCTGGTGTTTTTCATCCTGTGACACCAGGTGATTCTCTTCTCTTCATAGCCTTCGTTTTCTCCTATCTTATCACCATTTCCCAAAATTCCACCGCTCGCATGCATGCCAACGGGCCCATCAGCAGGTGAAGTGATCGGAGTAGCCATTCGCACTGGCTCGAAAAGGAATTCCCCGCCGACTTGTTGGTAATCACCTCCTTGAAACAGTTTGCCGCCTTTGATTTGTTTGAGACTTTGTAGTACGCTCTGTCCGATCCCCATGAGAGTACCTCTGCGCTGATATTCTGGTCTGGTGCCGAGATTCAATGTGCGCATCATTCCCAACTCATCGTATAGCTTCTTTGTAGGATCCGCATATATTGGAAATGGACAATTTGTAGCTTCTTGGTACATGGGGATGAGAGATGGACTGCCGCAACCAACGACGGCGATAAAGGTGGGAGTATGGAGTTGAAGGAGGGAATCTTCGGTGATGGATGCTGCGAGGGTTCGAAGGTATTCTTGGCAGTTCTAGTAGAAAGCGTAAACGTTAGGTTTGAGTTGAACTTTACAGCTAGGGTGATAGTAGGGCGACAGTTTACCCCGCAAAAGAAATGACGGATGAATATAACCAAGACTCTTCTTGCTACATTCGGGCCTGAGTATAAACTTTTGAAAGGTCTCGTTTTGCCATCCCTATCTAGGACGATCATACTCTCAACTTTCTTCAGCACCTCTTGGGAGGGTATATCATTATTAGTATTGACGTCCCCAACAAACTCCACGGAAGGATCGACGCCATCGAATGAAGTATCTATTGAGGTCTTTGGAGGTGTAGCATTTGGATGATCCATGATTATTGTATGGGCTGAATCTTCGAATGTCTTTTCGCTCAAGCCTTTCTCTGTGGTAGAATTAATGGTAATTCGATTCGCAGTGGGTGAATTAGACAAGATGACCATAATTTCAATCGATTCGTTTGCGCCGGTTCTTCGGATTTGTCTTCGTCACTGATTCACGATCGTTTAATTTTATCGAGGCTTAGACCTTTGAGCTGGCTCGGATGTGAACTATGATGAGTAAAGTGAATGATATACTTGTCGTCGGGTTCATAAATCCGTATACATAATCTCTTTTTTGGAATCTGTACGATAAACTGTCACATATAATTTCCTATTAGTTCGTTCAATCCTCCTACGTGTCAGAGTATCAGAATATCTGTGTCAGGTCTCAGACTGGTTTCAAGGACAGCCAGCCGTGGATAGCTTCCTTCCCTTCTCTCGTCGAGCTTCATACTAATCAAGTTTGATTGGAGAAGACGACGTAATTGTGGGTGATTCACCTGGGCGTCAACGAATAAGGTTATCAGATTCAGTAAAACTTGAATAACGGAGCATCTCTTAGCAAGAAATAGATCTTGATATACTGGATCTGTTGGACGTGCTCATCGGTGTTATGTTTTGATTTGGAAATTTTAGGGGTCACCGGTAGGTCACTGGTGCCACTGAGTGGGTAGACCTCGGATGGTGACAAATCTGGCACGATTTATGATTTATGGGGCTTATCTAACTGGGCGAGCTGGGCTGAATGAACACTTGAGGTATGGCATTCCAAAGTTTGAGGAATATCTGGAATATCTTGTAGCCATACTATACTTCTTTCTCTTTCTCTTCTTCTTCGTATATATGGGCAGATAAATACAAAGCAACAGATGCACAATGAACGGCAGACATGGTAGAGGATGAATCGTCGTCCAATCTACGAATCCGATGAAGCAGAGAAACAAAGAAGAAAAATCAACCATGACGCTTCGTGAAGTTTTATCATCACACACTTATTACTACTTATTACTACTTTGCCCAACAGACATGGCCAAACAAGAAGATGGATGATCTATGATCTGTTTTCAGCCTGCTGGAACGATCCTACAAGTAATAAGTAAAATCGAATAAAAGCAAGGAAATCAGGGGGACAAAAGTACAGCTCCCGTAAAGCATTACTATTACACATTTTATCTAAGAATAAGAAAGATTGTCGAGCTGCGTTTTGTGCTACAGAGTACAGTCGATCGCTCGCCGGGGAGTAGACGAATAGGCACGTATGGAAATGATCCGACCGGTGAGCTCTTTTGCGGCCTTAATATATCATTCAGTTACATCAGTTACAAGATGAGCCATTGGAGTTCACACCCAGGTAAACTTACAAATTAAATGTCGTGTCACTCTCTCTACCTACAAAGCATAACAGAACGTCTGAAAAGTTTCACAACGTTGTTGAACAAACCAAGATGAGGGGATGGATGAGGGGAGGAGGATTCCCGCCATTCATCTAATCCTTTAAGCTTATCATGATCAGGGGGGATCACTGGTGGACCGTGGATGAGATACATCCATTCCCTTCCCAATTGGTTGTACCTGCATTTATTGAAAATCTTCCGATGAGTGGCTGTGCTGTGCTTCCAGCTGTGCACCCTTGAATTCTGCATCTGTTGCCTAATATTGATTCAGATATCAGACTGAGAGAGACCCTATCTCATTATCTTCAATTGAATGTTGCAATCATCGTTTTCCTTGGTCAGAATTTATTAATCTGGACCACCTTTGTGGCCACTTTCTTTGGAGATCATGTCCGATAGTCCATTATCAATTGCTGCTAGTATCACAGGATTGCTTACCTTTGTTGCAGCTGTTATTGCTGGTTTCTATGCACATGCTCTTGGTCTTCGTGATGCCGTTGATACACAAGCCGAAATATCCAGTGCATTAGATAAAATATATCTTCTCGAAACGGAGACGGATATGTTGAATAATGCATATCTAGCTTCACTCATTCGTCAACCAGATCGAAAATATGGTGCTGGTGATTTCAAGTATTTTCAGGGACTTTATGTCCAGTCATTAGAACGAATGAGAGTCATGGACAGAGAGTTACGGACGAGTGCCGAATTGGTAACAAAAGGTGATGGATATGGCAGGATGTCCAGAGTGAAAAGAAAGGCTGCTTGGATGGCATCGAGAGCTCGTATCCAAAGAGATATTGATGAGAGGAAAACCGAGAGCATGAGGATCTTTCAAATCCAACTTGCCATGCTATCAGCGTGAGTTTGACCAATTGCTCATTCTCGACTATTGTTGGGAACTAGCTCAAGGATACTTGCAGGAAAATTGATGAGCTATCTTATCATCAAAACAATCATAACGCCACCTGCAATGTCATGCTGGCCGATATGGGCGACTTGTCAAAGTATGTGCTGTTAACGTCCGGCGTCAATCGCTGGACCCCCAAACTTAGTACTTGCTAATTCATTCAATAGTGGCATGATGAAACTACCTCCTACACCACCGTCCCCTACACTTTCTACTTCCTTTCCTGATCGACCAAAGATCAATAATCATGCAGAAATTTCAGCCACGCCAAGTCAATACCACACGCCATCAAAAACGTCCGAAGTAGCTCCACTTATTTCACTCCCATTGAGAGTATGAGAGTATAAGAGTATAAGATACGAGGATACCTACTCTTCATTCCAAAAATTGGATTCAAAAAGACTTCGTTCTAGTGCCACGTCAAAGCTTCCGATCCATTACACTAAATTGTGACCTGGTTGCCGGAAGAGAAAGAATTCTTCAGCTCTTCCAGGAATATTGCCCCGAACAGACTATTTTACGCTTCGCTACGCGTATTCCCTGCAGGGCATATCTATTCCCATCGTACATTAGTTTCTCGGATTTTCTTATCTCAATTTCAGCTCCGAATATAGATTCGATTTAGGATATATCGAAAATCGCTCATGAAATCGAACGTTGCATACGGCCTCAATTTATACTCGTCATTCCCTGGATGTGTACTAAATGATGAAGTACACCATTTTCATCAACAACGTCGCTGTATGCGAAGGCAGTTTATGATAAGTATTATCAACGCCTCGAGTATAAAGACCGATAGTATTGTGAAGGATTGAATCTCGATTGCTCATTTTATTCGGACACATGAAGTACCTAAAGTGGTTATCAATTGGCAGGAAGGAAAAGTATGTGATCAACTCTTGGTATTTTCCAATTAGTTTCATGCTTGATACTAACATCCAAAAGGGTGAAGGATAATAAAGTCAGCATTGATGATCTCAAAGATGGCAGCAGCGCATCCGGGAAACTTAAGGGTTCGATCCTGAAGGAAACTCTACGATCCATGGAACTATCATCACAATGCACCGTCGATACTCAAAAGAATACCGCTAATGGATCCGCGATGGGAATATCTGGGACCAAAACGTCCACGGGACCATCCCGAAAAACCAGCGTCTCAAGCAAAAGGAAGTCTTGGTATAGTCTATCAAGCAGAAAGTCGGAAGACTGTGAACCTATCGCTATCGAACAGACCAGCCTTTGCATTCGAACGGAAAACCCTAAAGATCGAAGGAAAACCTCTCCACACGCAACTAAACAACCTCCACCTCTACTCAACACCCATAAACATGCTTCCAGTAGCTCCATCACAATCATCGTCACATCTCCAACCTCAGATACCAACATCCAAACAGATTCTTGCTCGATATCTAGTACCTCATCACATTCCTCATCCCCCTCCTTAAAATCCACCTCCAGCTTCGACCCCTCCCTTCTCATGCCCCCCTTTCCACCAACTCCTCTGAAATATGACATCCCCAAATCCAACGAAGCTCCCGAGGTGAAAAAATGGCTTATCGGTTGCATGAATCGAAAAGCTGATACGCTTCCCCGCAAACTCGTTTTTCGGATGATGGAAATTTATGGGATTAAAAAAGAAGACTTGGATCCGACAATGTGGGGAAAGCTTCAGGAAGGGGTCGTAGATGAGGGGGTGGTATTGAGTGTTAATGCGGATGCTGATGTTGAGGATCAGGATAAAGATAAAGGCAATGGAAATATTGAGGCGGAGAAACAGGATCTCCAGAAGGAAAAGAAAAAGGAGGAATCTAATAGTGTCGATGCATTGCAGAACCCAAGGATTTCATTCTATTCTCGAGGAAAGCGGGGACGAAAAGATATCCCCTCCGAACGACCCAATAACACAATTCTCACGAAACGACACACCTACCCTAACTCCAACGCCAAATCCAATAATAACAAAACCCACCCCATCACCACCATCAAAAGCCCAAACCAAAACCCAAACCCAAACAGACCAACCCCACAATCCCCACCCCCCAAAACCTCCACAACCAACCCACGAGTCTGGCAAAACCCCTCATCGCGCGCGCGGAATTGGCCCACCACCATCCCCAACAACAACAACATGATGAATATGCACCACCCCGCTGCATTTTCTTTCCCTCCTTATGCACATACCAATGCAAATCCACATGCGAAATCAAGACCGAGCTCGCAGCACGGGAAACATCATAGGTATGCAAATGCACATGGGAATGGGTATGGATATGGGAAAATGACAAAGAAGAAGAGGGGGGTTTGTCCGCCGTGTTCGAGGAGGGGATCGATGGTTTCGTTGGGGAGGATTCCGGAGCATGAGGAGGGGTTTGGGGAGGGGAGGGGAAGTGAAGTGAAGTGAGGATAAGATGGTTGGGATAGGGAATAGGGATTCGGAGAGAGAAGAGAGAAGAGAGAAGAGAGAAGAGAGAAGAGAGAAGAGAGAAGAGAGAAGAGAGAAGAGAGAAGAGAGAAGAGAGAAGAGAGAAGAGAGAAGAGAGAAGAGAAGAGAAGAGAAGGGGAGGGACAAAAGAAGGGTGTTCATTTGAGGAATCCGTTATATATACTATATAGGTACTAAGTACATTTCTCGGCGTTATGATTCCATGAATACCTATCGAATTCAATTCAGCGTTGTTTATATGAATGGTTGGAATTTTGGGTTGGGGGCGATTGTATATACATATATACCTATCTATTAATATATTTATTAAGTAATTTTTTTATTAACATATCTACCAAGTAGATATTTATATCGCATTAATATTCCTATTAATATTAATATTATATTATAAATATATCTCATCCCATCCCATCAGTATCAAAATACCTACCTACTATTTATCACACAATTTCTATATATCTCAAGATATCAATCAATACATTTCATCTCATCTTGTTCTATTCCATTTGTTATCATTTGTTATCATTTGTTATCATTTGTTATCATTTGTTATCATTTGTTATCATTTGTTATTATTTATATTCAGATTAGTCCCATCCCATCCCATCTAATTTTTCATACCCAACAGTCTTTATTTATCATCTCAGAACGATATATTTCTCATCCCATCCCATCCCTTTCCGTTTCATCAGCACATAGGTACCTGAGTATAATGCAGCTCTATATATTTTGATTGGTATCAATATTAGACAACTTCACTTCAACACATGCATCACATAGGTAATTATAGTATTCTCAAAATTCAATATCAAACTAGCGACAAAATTCATTAAATTCGACTAGCTGACTGACTCATCTCAATAACTCATCAAACAGTTGCCACTCATTACAAAAACCTCTATGAGTAGGTAGGTATCTCTATAAAGAATAACAGAGGCAAACTAAGTGTACTCAAGCAAAAAGCCACGCAGTAATAAGTAACACATACATCTGCTTAATAACTACACAATCCACCAACCTCATCATCCAAAGTCCATGTTCCAGCCAATCCACCCAATTCTAATCCTCCATCAGGATGCTCATCCAATTTTCCCACAAAGAAATCCCCTTTACCCATCGTATTCAAATCTCTATTCATGACTCTTCTCGCCCAAGAATCAATTGTGGGCTCTCCAGTTTCATCCCTCGCTTGTTTTAAAAAGGGGATAAGCGCCGTACCACCTGTCCCCTTCAATTTCTTCTTCTTCTCTTCGTCATCACCCTTTCCACGAGATGCCGTTGCAATATCTACCTTTCGGCTACGAGTTGCCTCGGGACTCATGGAACGGGAATGAGAGTGAGATTCACGGGATTTGATAACGATGTAACGTGTGACAATAGCGATATGTTTATCGCGGAATGTACGCAACATGGCGAGACAAGCATCGTAGGCGAGACAGAGCTCATGGTTATCGGTATGCGCTTCGACGTAACCGCGAATATTGGCCACGACGGTCATATCTTCGAGGAATCGTCGATGAGCTCCTGGCATGTATTTTCTCATTTCGAGAAGAAAGTTATGCTTAGTTCGTGGAGCTGCGCCTTCGGCTTCACTCTCTGAAGCGGCATCCTTCTTCTCACCCGTGGGTCGATGTTCTATTCCTAAAACAATGTCGAAAAATTGAAGAATGGAGCTTTGAGCATTACTACCCCCAGAAAGTTGACGGTATTGACCAACACCATTACCCTCATCATAGAAAACTCCATTTGGTAATCCGGCTTCTTCCATATTCTTACTACCAGCAAGGAAAGGACGGATTCGATTATAGAACACATGAGGATCGCAGCTTTCATGCATACGTTGAAGAAGTGTTCCAAGATCATCGATTCTCTCCGCAAAAGTTCGAAGACAAGATGTAACAGTCCTGCTATCATTCTTACGAGCCGCCTCAATTGCTGTAAGCATGAGCGGAAGAACGGGAGCAGCGCGAGCTTCAATTGCCACTGAAACCAAATAAAACCAAGACTCGTCGATAGAGCCAGTAAATGTGGTCAATGTGGCAAGATTCTCTAAATTGTCGACATGCTCATCTGCGAACAATGGTTTAAAGTTCCAGAGACAGACGGCAGCATATGTGGCGACTGGTGGTACTTCCAAGTAGTTTGAAATGTGTAAAAGGGGGACTGTAATGGATGGCGGCAGGTTCTGTATATATCACAAGTAATCAGCACGAGACTTTCACACAAGGCTTGCGGATCGAGGGAAAGAATTGCACAAACCTCTTCCGGGCTATCACCACCCCAGATATAACTATGCGCCATGAAACATAACAACGAATATGCTCTTCGCCATTCCGAATCGTGTTCCAGACCGGCAGTCGAAAGAACTGGCAGACGATCAATAACACCGCGCAGGCGTTTACTCAAAATCAAACCTTGAAGGTTTGCATTGATCGCCTCCCATTTGTTGTAGTATGGATCGGGAAGTCGTTCGAGAGGCAAATCAGCCGGAAGAAAACCATACTCTGGAGATATTCCGTATTTGCTGAGTTTGGGAAGTGGAGGAAGCATGGTCTGATTGGGGAAAAAAGATAGATAGGTTTAAAGTATCTGTCCTGACGCAAGGAGTATAGGATCTTTTTGTCCAATACTCCTCAGCCTTTTCGATAATCTTTGTAGTTGCTTTGCATATGAACTGCAAAATGTGTTGTGTGAGGCAAAAAGGTGCTGAAATGAAGTTGGATGATAAAATGTTTCAGAAACTTTTATCGGAAATCCTTTTCCGGAGGGGATGATTGCCCCTCCTATATATAGTCAAGAGAGGGAGGGGCAGGTGGTCTGAGAAATGGGAAAAAGCTAACATTTGATAGCATTCCGCTTAGAAAGCAGCTCTCCTCGGAATTGCGCGGTATCGGCCCATAAAGACTAATCATTTTCCTTTGAAAGAAGAATTGTTTGTCATGGACATGGTTCTGGTCATAATTCTGGTCATGGCATCATAGCAGATGTCAAAGAGTTTTCTCTTCTCTTTTTCCCTACTGGCATTGGAATCAGGTGACCTAGGACCTTTGGTAGTAATTATGATAACAATAGCAATATCAGAATCAATACAATCCATCGATGGTTATCCGTATATACTCGAGTACAACGGAGTCGTCCGATCAGATATATTTTCGATTTGATATTTGATATTTGACATCTAGTTCGTACACGATACATGATTAGTTTGATATGCGAGTCTGACTGCCAATTTCACTCTCGTAGGGCCCGAGTTGAATGTTTCAAAGTCCCTGCGACCCACACACACAGACAACCCTACCATCCATCTTGGTCTTGCACTCGCACAACCATCCCATCATCTACCAGTTCAGTACCTGTCTATCTAATCAATTTATCACATGATACTTTCTAGCTAAGCTCCACCCCCACCCATCTCATCATCATTGCGTTCTGAATAGCTTCACGCCCGGTATCTAGCTAGCTAGCTGGCTGGACCTGAAGCTCATTTATCATAATGGCCGGTGTGCAGCAACGAGTTCTGAACTGGCTATACAGTGTTCTTACAAGCGTATGTAAATCTACCTGCCACGTATATACAGCTTTACTTATACTTACATCCAATATCAGGAATATCGAGATGTAAATCGTACATATAATGACGTCGCCCAAACACTTTCTCAATATACCTCATTATCCCCACGAACCGATGTTTACAGTACGTAAATAAGCTTACAGATTATGCCACCAGCTCGAATACTAATGCGCAAGCTAAATAGCATACGAGAATGGCGCATCTTCACTCCTCCTTCATCTTTCGGGCACCCTACCGGTGAATTTTCGTGGCACAACCTACAGATTCCCAATCGCATTATGGATACCTCACGCATATCCACACGAAGCTCCATTAGTATATGTGACACCAGTGGAGGGAATGGTAGTAAGAGCAGGTCAACATGTAGATCCGCAAGGGAAGGTCTATCACCCATATTTAATGAGGTGGCCAGACTATTGGGATGTGAGTCGCACAACTTGGCACATTGAAGCTTTGAAATTGCTTGGCAGATGTACTCATGAATTGAAATATACAGAAATCCAATGTGCTCGATTTTCTCGCGATTCTGCGAGACGTTTTTGCTAAAGAGCCTCCTGTTATATCGAGACAGCAACAAAATGCTACACCACGTCCACAACCAACAGTTCTGCCCCCTCCTATACCACCACTTCCACCAAATGTCCCTCGATCCATACCAGGTTCAGCTTCCCCACGTCCATTGACCGACGACGTCCCTCCACCTCCCCCACCGAAACCTATAAATCATGCAGCACCCTACTCCCCTTCGAGTTCCCCGCGGCGAGATGATGGGCCACCGCTGCCCCCAATACCTCCACAAATTGGATATGATAGTAGCAGATATGCGCCGCCAATTCCGCAATCACCAAACAGGCAATCGCATGCTCCTCAAAGAAGTAGTAGTCTTCGTTATGAAAGTGCCCCTCCATTGCCACCGCAACAGCCCAGGCAAACCTTACGGGAACCCTCATATAGTCCTGTGAGTCCAATAACTCCACCAGATGGTTCATATAGACAGTCCTCATACTCTCAGTCATACCAACAACCTCCACAATCTCAACAATCTCAGCAATATGCACCACAACAAACATACAATGTAAATAATATTCAACAGCCGGCCCCGCAAAATGGCAGACCTCCACCGCCGCCTCAATACATGCATCCACAGCAACAGCCATACCCTGGACATCCAACCCATCAGCAATGGCCTCAATATCAGCAGCAACACCAACAAACGCCGCCACCACAACCTCAAGCCAAACCTCCACCACCACCTGACCTTCTTGATGCCCCATTAACCCTCTCTATCCCCGATGCTTCATCCGCCAATCTTCCAGCACCGCCTGTTCCACCTAACCCAGAAAAGGATATGCTCCTCCACAAACTCGCTAACGCTTTACACTCCCAACGCCTTCATCACACTACCCAAACCACTTCTTCTATTCCAGGTCTTCAGTCGCAACAGAAATCTATGCTCACCACTCTCTCCGCAATGCAATCTGAAATATCCGCTCTCGAATCCCTCTCCACCCTTCTCTCCAATAATACAACGATCCTTCACACCTCTCTTCAAACCTCCGACCAACTTCTTCAATCCTCTCAACATCGTACCCCTCCCTCCATTGATGAACTACTCGTCGCACCAACAGTTGTAGGAAACCAACTTTATGAATTAGTATGTGAAGAAAGGAGTTTAGCAGATGCGATTGATGTCTTGGGCAAAGCCGTCGAGAGGGGAAGGATAAGTGGACCAACATTTGCAAAGATGACGAGAGGATTGGCTAGGGAATGGTATCTGAAAAAAGCGTTGGTTAGGAAAATTGGAAGGGGCATGGGATTGAATGGGGTCGCTGGAGTGGGTAGATATTGATAATTTACATTGAAGTATGAGAAGAGGAGAGAAGAGATATAACCAATTTGTATGACTAGCTGAATTCTGAGATGGCAAGATTACACATAATCAGAGGATGAAGGAAAGATGACGAGAAGTGAGCTCGAATGTAGAAAAATAAAATCAAACACAAATACAAGGAAATTCTCTTCAAGAGAAAGCTTCAATAACCAACCGGTCTCCTCGTGCGTGACTTGTTATATTTCAATGCTCAAATTTCATCATACAAAAGTTTTGTTGTATATCTGAATTTCCAGATTTCACATAATTTCGACAGGCAAAAGTCGGAATTTGATATCTTCTTGCCTTGTGGCAATAGGTAACGAAAGTAAGTACCCAATAAAGTGATGGATCGACGGATCGAGGAATTAATTGCACAAACAGCCCAGTTGTTCCCAACGTTTCGTATTCCTGTACCTGAACGAGCGCTATTCATTTCTTATATACTATAGAGTTGTGATGTTACTCTCTTCGTTGATTCCTGTTGATAGTGATTATAGATCTTTCATTTCTTCTGCGTGTAGTCGTAGCTGTCTGTTACTTGATAGAGGATCAAGATCTCAATCCGTTGTTTAAAAGTACATAATATCACATCGCCTCACTCAAACCATTAAAACTACAATAAAGTAAAGTCCCAACATGCATTCCACGTGATTGATATTCCTGGCTATAGATCCACCATTTCATTCCATATCATATCAATCGATCACTGTACACACCACACACATACACACATACTAATACCTAGCTACAAAAGAAACCGAGATGCCCCATCCCTCCACCCGTTCATCCATCCGATGTCCCATGTGTTTATCCACCGAGAGGCCGTCGGCCCTTCAAGTCATCCATCCATCTGCTTTATCTTCCTATTCTTTCCACATCCCACACGATTCCCGAGAAAACAAATCCTCATGTATCGCCAATAGCGATATGATAATGTCCAATCCCACCCTTCCACCCAACCATTGATGAGATGAAAATCCGAGATCCTCTTTTTCTCCCCCAAGTGCGTTCCTTTCTTTAACTAACCTTAACTATCAAATCATAAACAGGAACAGAAAAGAAGCTAAGCTGAGCCGAGCAAGTTCAAAAAGATTTTTTTCCACCCATCACCACCACCATATCATGTCAAATCTCAAATCTCCTTCCGCTCCGCCCCAAGCCGAGAAAAAAATAACAAGAAAAGAAAATGAAATAAATACTCGTCACCCTTTACATGAGGTAGTGGCAACTGTCCAAGTTGGAGATAGACACAACTCGCGCTCATTGCAAATCTATTCAGCAGGCCTTCTGGTCTTTGCAATGTGCTCGTGTTGAGGGCATTCACCGAACGGGTGATGCCCATTGGGGAACTATAAGGACATGATTTCGATATTACTCCTAAATATTTGTCTCAATCTTTGGTTGCCCATTAGGTAATCCATTTGCAGCATGTCCATTAACGCCTGTTGGACTAGTGATTTTTGGATCACCACTGACGGATGGAGGTCCTGATGGTTGAGCCGAAACAATTCCTCCCTTTTTATCTTCTTCTCCATCATCATCGTAATTCTCATCAACATCCATTTTTCGTGCTGCACGTTCCGGTTCACTGACAGCAGGTGCTGGTTGTGCGGGAGTTGAGGGGGCTTGCTCCATGCGCTGAGCCAGTGATGGTTGTTGTGGTACCGGTACCTGTTGACGATCACGCTCGTCTATTGAAGCCTCTTTGATTGGAGTAGCTTGCCGAGGAAGGGCAGGAGGTGGTCCAACTTCGTATGTATGAGGAGGTGGTGGACGCGAATCTTGTTGCATTGCTGGATGGCTTTGCATGCCGTGAGTTGGTGGATGATGCGCAGCTTCTGAAGGGTGATAATTCTCATTTGCACGACGCTGTTCAGCGGCACGTGCCTCAGCTGCGCGGCGCTGGTCTTCAACTCTCCTTTGGTTCTCTGCTTGTCTCTGCTGCTCTTCAGCAAGGCGTTGTTCTTCGATTCTTCTTTGATCTTCGACACGACGAGCCTCAGACGTGCTTCTATGAAATTGTGCCCGGTCACTTGGTGGTGTAGAAGGTCTTCGGTGGTGCATGTCTTCTAGTCGTGCACGATTTTCATCTGAAGCTGGCTTCTTCACTGCGGGTTCGTCTTCCCATTCACGCATTCGCTTTGGACCTACGGATGGTGGTCTATTGTCACCACGATCTGAAGATGGGGCGTCTACCGCAGCTAAAGCGGATGGTGGGGGTGGGGCGCCTCCTTCAATTCCACTCCTTTCAGGAATTTCGGTGTGATGAGCGTATGGCGGTTGATTGGAATAAGGAGTCTTGGGAGATGGCATTGTTGCACTCA